TGCATTTAGTAATATTTGTTCAGCTCTCTCTGCAAAAGGGTTTGCAGGGAGGACCAGATCTCACAGATTTGGGTCCCATCCTGTTGAAAAATAGACGTTAATGCACATAATTAACCCCAAACCTTTGCTATCTATTTGGACTACCTGGATATAATCACTGTCTGACTAATCCCTTTGTTGTATAGTTCCTTTCATATCAGTTGAGATCAAAATTGATGATCCACCACTTGCTCTTCCATACAAACCCAATTTAGTGGCAGAGATGAGAAGAATCCTAGCAAGGAAGGAGAAGAAATAACCAAGCACCATGTCTCCTGTAATAAAATGAATAAAATGTTAAATTCTGACAGGCACTGTTCAAAACGGGTATCCACCAATTTACTGTGCTACCCAAGAGATGGCTTTGATGTACCGTGGAGCCTTAGAAGCAAGTCAGTTGGTAGCATTCAAAGTGTTATATTCTTGTCTTGGTGCAAGAAGACATACTATAGTGATGATGTTTCATCAGAATGGGAATCATTAGCAGGCAGTAACTTTGGACTAAGTTTGCTATCTCTGGGGCTGGCTGGACTTGCAAGCTAGAGATCTTGGCTAGGACATACTCTTGATACAGCAACTTCCTTTTGTCCTCTTTTCTGATCCAGGCCCTCAGATAGAACAGAATGAAGCAGGTTGTCATTATCTGAAACTGAACAAGAAAGAATCAGTTTGGGCTGTTTCGGGGTAGAAGGACACATGGACTTGCTGGGGTGCAGGTTCTTTGATTGCAGGACTCAGAGAGCTTATAATGATTTTCTGCAGAGTTGCTGTCAGATGAGAGCTCCAAAGATATCAGGTCAATTAAAGGTTTGGCTGCTGCTTGGGTTAATAGCAGTATCCATTTCAATTCATCCAGTCTTCTCAGTATTTCTTCTTGTTTGCGATTTGGTAAGGCTTCAGAAGAGTTCATTAATCCTGTTTCTAGAACTTCATCAGTGCCCTTTTTTTCTTGCATCATTTCAGTATGATTATTTGAGCAGTGCCTCATCCAGGATGCTAAAGGTGCTGAGTTGCTGTAGTTTTTATCATTTGGCACGCTGCCCATAGCATGAGGCAAGGGAGTCCCTGCCTGAGACGTTAAACCAAAAAGTGCAGTCCTTTGTCCATCTCAGAAAACATGCAGTGGGTATATTTGAAAAGGAGAAAGACAATATTTCATTTTGAGCAGCATGCAGGGCATGGTGGAATGGTTAAAAGACAATAGAATTTCTTTATGGCCTGTCGTGCTAGGAAGCCATTCAACAGTACTTAGATCAGTGTTGTCCAAACTTGGCCACTTTAAGATGAGTGGACTTCAACTCCCAG